ACTCTCTCAGTTAATCACAATGTTTGCTCTTAATCTTATTCTTTTCTGATAATTAGACCACTATGTGAGTGAATAATGCTGAGACCAAAGCTCAGTCCACAGCTGTAGATAAAAGGCTCAAAAGATGTCAGACGTCTGGCAAACATAATTCTTTCAGAGGAGGATGTGGTAGCAGAGATGTGGCTATTCCTTTCGGTCTAACATAGTGATATACTGTATATATAGGAAGCTAGTCTTCACTTTACTACCTCTTTATATGCTGCTTGATTTTTTTTACAGTGGCCACTCTGGTTTTCTGGAGTTTTTTTATGGGCTTTGAACATCAGAGAGCAGCGTTAGAAAGATAGCAAGTACTATTTTTGTGAGAGTTCCCACATGCTGCGGTTTCAGGCACTTTAGAATTCTACGTGTTAGAATTAACAACAGCGAGTACTTTTCCCAGATTTTGTGTGTTATTTTTACATTTAGACTAACTAGACTACCTAAGCAAAAGCAGGTATAGGCATTTTCCAGGGGACAGAAAAATCAAACCACCTTAACAAGAAATAACAATATACCACAGTGTCCACAACTAGCACACTTAAATATATGGGTACTTATATTCTGCTATATATCTGTTTTTCCAGTATGGCTGCCTCAGCAAAAGCTCAATGTGATGTCACAGATGATTTATAAGAAATACAGTCCCACCAACAGGAAAAAAAAAAAAGAGGAATTAAAGCTTTAAGGATAGCACATGCATTACTGTAGACAAATAGAAAATTACTTCCAAACTTTAAACCAAGCCATATTTTTTCAGACAGAAATGTCATTTCCAAATGCACTATAAGGAATTTTATATACAGCAGTTGGCAAAGTAGAGAGGTGAAACTAAGTGCACGCAAAGGAAAATCTGTCAGTGCTTTCAGCGCATTCCTTTAGCTCCACAGAGTCACCAGTCACTTACCAGTGCCTTTGTACTGTTTCTGAAGGGTGCCCATAAAACAATGTTCCACAGACCTATTCTAGTGAGCTTCTGCTTGTTGGGTTTAGAGTTTTGGATTCTTTTTATTTTCTTTTTCTTTTCTTTTCTTTTTTTTTTTTTTTTGACTTTGAGCCTTTTAATATTGCAGCTTAGTTCAAGCAGTCCTTTTCCAGATGTGCTCCTGAAGCTTACTATTGCTTTTGTGATCTCATTGGCCCTTATTTGACCGCTAGACTGACTTGAGGGTCTCTGTGGTACTATGTGTCCTGAAAACATCCAAGGTCAGGTTGGATGTGGCTCTGAGAAACCTCATCTAGTTGAAGATGTCCTTGCGCATTGTAGAGGGATTGGACTAGATGACCTTTAAAGACCCCTTCCAATCCAAACCATTCTATGATTCTATGATGATTCTGCTTTTCAGGTGAATCTGAGCTCACTCCAGTTGTGCTCCGAGCAAGCCAAGTGCAAGCCAGCTCCAAACAAGAAGTCATGTAGTCAGAGTTGGAGCAACTGGCAGATGAATGCTAACAAACCTGTTTGACAGGCAGAGTGAGCTGTTGTCTGCCTGCTCTTCTAGGAGGACACTGCTGTGCACTGTACAAAAGGATATGCTTGAACCTAACTAGCTCTTTTGCTGTATCTTTTAGTGGCAATCTGTTATCTTTCTTTACTTAGCTATCTAAAGGTCCCCTGACAGGGGGGATGGCTAGGAGGTTTCTCTCAAACCTCATCTATTGCATTATATGCAATGCTTCTTGGAAGTCTGATGGTTTTAAAGTGGAATTCTAGTTTCATGTATAAATTTGTTTCTAAATGCCCTTCATGGCACTATATTTAGGCACGTTTATACTAGAAGAATGTCTTAGTGCTTCTTTTCAGCACTACTTTCTCATTTTCTGAGGTTATTGCTAAGAAGTGTTTCCATGACTGCAGACGTCCTCAGTAGTTTCAGAGTTGTTTTACGTGAGTCCTGTTATTTTTTATGGAAGTACTTTCAGCCAGATAGAGCTGGCTGTGGCCATTGTATTTTGCAGAAAGACTCTTTCCTTGCAGCAGTTCCTGATATATAATGCAATCAACAAACTGTATCTAACATGGCTCAGAATGATTCTCCCTCCTCAGAACAGGGGCAATACTCAGATATATGTCGCAGATGGCAACACTGAATTTCTTGCAGATGCAAGAACCTGTGTCAGCAACAAGGTGGCTGTTCTCAGGACCAGAATGTCACCAATTTACTTATGCTCAGCTCATCACAATCATAGACACAACTCCTATGGAAATTGGTGGTAGGTAGTTACATAGGTATGTCTGAAGACCTGGGCATTAGTTCTCTCTGTCACTAATTCCTGCTCATAAGATTAACCCATCTTACCTCATAAGAGTATCATGATGACATCAACAGTTAAGAATGTGCGGCACCAAGATACGAAGGGTTTTATATGTAGAGATTATATAGCAGCTGGTGCTGCAGATAAGCAGATGGGTGGGTGGGCATTAGCAGTACAGAAAGAAGGATAGACTCTACTGTGATTCAAGTGGGATGCATGTGAGCTTTTGTTGGTGAGAGTATGTTCTTAGGGAACATGAGATGAGAACTGACAAGCACCACTTGACAGCAGAAGAGCTGGGAAGAGCAATCCTGACTCCTGCCTAGTACTTAGGAGGGGGTAAACTTTGGATCCTGGCTATGTCCAGTGGTGGTCCGACATAAAATGTAGGCAAATTCCAAGAAGTAAGGTTTCCTGGAAACCTTTCTGTAAGCTGAAGCTGGCACTTTCTCATAATGCGCTGGTGATATCTTCCAGTAAGAGGACAACCTGAGTGTAATGCTTGACACTGAAAACAAAATAGATTTGGATACAAAATTTGGCTCTTTTTATGTGCATGACAGTTTTTCACTTGAAGCATCTGCAGCACACAGCTACACCTGCATGTATATCCCTGAAGTGAATTCAAGTGTAATTCAATAACTCAGTAAGTAAATCATTCTGGCAGCTGTTGTCCTCTGTTAAATCACTTCAGTCTTTCCAGAACTGATCATATTTTAATAGCTCTTTTCATTTTGGCAAGAGTTTTCACAGCCTGAGCCTCTTTCACTAAGTACAAGACCAAGTTTATGGCATGACAGTAAACTTAACACCTAATCTCTATGTGCCTGTTCCTAAATGTGTATATGTAGGCATATATTAATTTGGAGAAAGCTATATTAATCCTTGCCTTAAGTAAGAATATTATCCAGGTGATTTAAGCAATGGTGAAGGGAAAGCTGCAAGGGCAACAAGAGAGGACATGCTCCTGGCAATTCATCAGAAAGCTTGTAAGATTGCAGGAGTCTCCTTTCTCAGCTCAATTCAGCACCTCTGGAAGTGCCTGCAGGGCCTCTTCACTGGTGTGTTTTCTCTGGTGTACACACAGAGCAATTTTTGACAGTTTTGAATGAGAAGAAAGGTTAAATAAATGGCATAGTCTTTATGGTGCTAGGAGGCTCTGAACTGCAAATTGAGTACATGCTTATGACTGAATATGTTGGAGTATTTCAATGAAAAGCCTTAGCTCAGTGGAACTCACTGGACAAACTTCCCTCTGAACAAACGTGCATGCATGTGAAAGTAATGATTTTTTAAAAATATTTGGCATTTGCAACTTCCTAATAGCATGAACGATACAATGCTGAGTAGGGAAAAGTAATTTCTATTTCCATATCTCCTATCATCTGGCACTGTTGATGAAGTCTGAGCTTTTCTTAGTGCTGCTGCCCATGTGGCGCGGCTGGAGAGTGAACTTCAGTCTGTCAGGCTTTCCACCAACACCTTCTGTAAGCAGTAATCCAAAGGATCCTCCCTCACTCCTCTAAAATGGCACATTTAAGCTCCTCCTGTTTTCACAGGTCTGTGTGTATATATCACAGGTATCATCTGCATATGTGTTTGTAAAGGGCAGAACCCTCTGCCAGTGAAAGCAGGTCTTCCCCTTATCTCCTGTGTGATTAGTTACGTACACAGGCTCTCTACAAAGTAGTTGAGACTATATTATTATTTTTTATTATTTTTTTTAGTGAGTACGCTTTGCTATTGATCACTTTACATAGTATAAAAGAAGCTTAATCATAGAACTTTAAAAATATTTAGAGTATTTTAGAGTATTACTTAGTGTAAATAAGAGTTTGCAAGCTTCGTATACCTTTGTAGCTCATCAGGCAGAAGTTTTGCCTTGGTCTCTGAGGTTGCTGCTGAAAAATAATGCTTCTTGAGTAACTACCTCCTTTAGGCCAATACCTTAGAGATTGCACCTAACACTCATGGACTATGCTGCTGTACTGACTCTTCCAGTTTGCCACAAGACACATCAACCTATTTGTACGAAATAACTTCTTTGAGGGTTTCCACCAGGGCAGTTATCAAAATGTCAGGCCGGCTGTTTCAGGGAAGGTAAGGCAGAGGTAGGGCAGTCACTGCACTTTTCCATCCCAATACACAGCAGAGCTGATCAGGTTTGCAGGAGAACATATACCCCAGCAGAGAGTATAGTTTCAGTAAAATAATTTCCTGAGGCTTATGTTACAGCAGCACCAGCTATCACTTACCTGAATACAGAGCTATGGGCCTTCGATCCCCCAAAGTTTATGGCTTTTACACAGTCTCTGACATGACTCATTTTTTGAAGCTGCTGTTGGCAAAATGCTGCCAAGCCATTGAGTTGTCGTCTTTGCTCTCTGGTACAGTTCAGGTAATTCAATCATTAGTTGAAGTTTTGTAGCAAAGAAAGATCATGTTCAACATCTTAGGACCTTGTGAATCTTGTAGGTCTGTTGCCCACAGGTTAGAAGGCACAGTGCTGTGGAAAACCGCAATTTAAATAAACTTTTAAAATTCAGAGTTAGTATCTAACTGGCATCAGGAACATGAGTTTGGTCGTGGAGTAGAAAACACATACATTGAGTTATTTAAATAAATGATGGCAACTGGTATAAAGGAATAAAGTTCCATTTTCTGTTCCCGTGATGACTCGGCACTTGACAAGTTGTTTTCCCTAGTTCCCAACGCGAAAGAAGCAGCTGCCTTCGGCCCTCGCCTGGCACAGAGGAAAATTCCAGTGTCGAGACCAGAGCAAGAAGGTAGATTACCTTTATCCTATGGTATTTATTTTCCTGTGTATTGTGTGTTTTCATTACAACCTTTGTTAGTTAAACTAAAATGAGTTTAAAAGCCTTTAATGTTAAACAAAGGTTTAGAGAGCACATTAGAGATGGTATCTGGCCAAACCATTCTGCCAGTTTCAATGTAAGAAGGTGTTTCTGTGTCCTTTTCAAAACATGCTTTAACTGTTTATAAGCCAGGTATACAATGTCCCCCCACATTGAAACTTGACTTGCAATTGAATTTCACTTGATTTGTTTCAAAGTCATGAAAAATAAAGTAATTTTGGTTGCCTATAAAATGAAACCATGTTAGAGTGTTGCATAGCACACAACCATATGCCAATGTCATTAGCCGAATTCTCTTGGTTTTTCTCCTGGTCCTCTGTCAGAAGTCAGTAGGAGTTTCCTCTGAACAAGACTGAATAAATATTTACCCTAAATCTTAAATAGCCTGCCTATGATTTTCTGATCATTCCAAATTCATCAGAAAGTCCTGTGGATATCAGTGTAAGATGATACTACCTGTTCTTTCTCACATCAAAAAATTACCGTAAAATCAGCCAGCTGAGCATACAAGGTCCAAGACTTGCCAATTTATGCACACAACTTAAGCTTCTGCCATGCCTTAGGAAACTACTTCATGAATTTTCAAACAGAAAACTTCGCTGCCTGCTGGGAACTGCAACAGATTGCAGCATAGCTCTGATCAAAGCAGAGCATAAAGGCAGATCAAAGGGCACTCCTCTCCTCTCTCCTGGTGGGAAACAGTTCCTCTGTGGTGGACAGAATCATGAAGCTGACGATAAGGACCTGCTTATGAGAACCACGGAAAAAAGCAGAATCCAAAAGCGAGGATTGAGGGATCGTATTGAGCTGATGCATTTACGGGGGAGCAGCATCCTCCTGGGGAGCCAAGTGGGCAGGGGCTGAAATGCTGAATAATGGGATTCACTGCAGCTAAGATTCTTTTTAGCACAAGGTGGGTTTCACCCAAAACCAATCCACAAACAGTTCCAAATCTTAAATCAAAACAAAACAAAACAGACACACATGCTGGCTGACATTAAGAATGAGATACTGTTTTTTTTTTCCAATTCAGAAAGCCATAGTCTCAGAAACAGTGGATTTATACTGTAAAGTTCTCTAAATGCCACATAATGCACTGCTCTGTGTCTTGACAAAATATATGAAAATAACAAGAAGGATGCCTTTTTCTGAGGAAGTTCAGATGGCTGACGTGTTATTCTTAATCTGATCTGTCATGCTTGCATTGCACAGTGTTTCTTTCTTCATAAATACATAAATGCTTTTCATCTGCACAGTCACGAAGACTGTGGTGTGCTCTGGATGATACCCTTCTTGCAGCATGCTCTAAAGGCCAACTGATTTGGGCTATCAATCAGCTCCGTGTAGTACGACTATTGAGTACTGACAAAGGATTCCTCTCATGGGACACCAGCTTCCCTCTTTCAGTGGCAAGAACTGGAGTTTGAGCATCTCAGCTGGTTACAACTACAGCAGTGTAACAAATGGAGAGAAGAAAGCTCTAATGTTGGCAGATCCCAAATCATTTATGATACTAGAGTTCAAAATTAACACCTCCAACTATACCTGGGGATCAGCAGGCACTCAGTATACAGAAGTCACAGCATAGAAACTCATATGCAGATGAGAGATTGACAGTAAAAAGACACGATAGATTTTTCTGTGAGTTGAAGAAAGAATTACTACATAAACTCCAATGTTTCACTTTTTTGCAATTTAATCTAGGTCAACGCTATCTGAACTCAGATTGTAGATAATTTTAGAACAACCTGTACATTCATAACTGGTTGAATAAAGAGCAAATTATTTTTATCGGTACTTATGAAATAGTGCTCATCTTATCTCTGAGTCTCCATTGCCAATTTTTTTCCAGTTGATTGCAGCTTCAGTAGAGGGGTCTGCGATTGGAAACAAGATGCTGATGATGACTTTGACTGGAATCCTGCTGATCGAGAGAGAGGTATTTAAATATCTGTCCTCTTGCTATTCTTTGATTTGATGGCTCACTGCCTCCTTAAAAAAGGGGCATAGAGATGAAAACAGAATCAAGAATTAGCTTTCTTATCCATGGGTTGAACTGATAAAAGAAAAAAGGAGGCAGAGAACATTTGGAGTGGAAATTGTTTCTTTGAAATATCCAGTGGCAACTGGTAATCAGCAACATATTTCAACACAAATGAATAAAAAGATGAGAAAAATTATTAGGATATAACTGTTCAGAAGTGCAAGGTACGAGACAACAGAAACCTTATTAGTCAGGTGTTGTGTCTCCTTGAGACTGGTAGGGCATTTAACCACACATCTGCCATTTAGATGGATGTGGTAATGAAGTCACTCACGTGGCTTAGACAGCACTGTGATAACTGCTCAGAAATCTCAAACTCTGCAAGACAAACTACTGACAGCGTTCCTCAGAATGAGCCAAGGGCAGGAGGCTGTTCAAGAACAACCCATACCTGACCCAGTACCAACTGCAGGCTTGCGAAAACCTGAGAAAGAGCTCCACGAGTGCAACGTGTGACTGCTGTGCTGGTGTATATAAAAAGGTGTGGCTGAAGAAACTTCTTGGAAAGTATGTTTCTCCTCCTGTGGCACAGGAAATGTTGCAGAAGTTGTTGCAGTAGGAACCGGTGGATCCTGCAGATCCTGCAGGCCCACTTGCTTCAGTTCTTACATGCACATTGTCTCCCTCTTCCCTCAGAGTCTTTCCATCCTAGTCTTTCTTCACTAATCCTTCCTCTTCTGCTCCATATATTTCCTTGACCCCAAGCCTCTTTTCTGTGATGTCACTTCCAGGAAGACCTTACCTTGACCTTACCCCATCTCCCTGAACTTATATCTGCTGATTCTGGCTTTATTTATGGCCCCAGACGTTGTATCCCTTTATCACTGTGTGTGTCTCTGTCACTCCATTGGTCCTACGGGCTTTGGGGAATAAGCTATCGGTTCTTTTACGAGTTTGTCATCAACACAGAGGACAGTGGAGAAACTATTGAGCTAGCTCAAGCACTGGAAATGGTCTGACACAGAGGCACAGCAGCATGTTTCAGGCTGTTGCATCTGAAAAACTTAGATGGTTTTGCCTTTGAAAGATGGTGCAAGGAAGAATGACTGTAATTGCCAGTGAAATATGAACTCATCTCCTATGTAAACCGATCTGACTTCCAACAGTGCAAGCTTATTCCTTGCAAAGTACACTCCCTGCTGCTTTTCTCCAGTCTCATTTTAAACTATTCAGGTAACACACTTCCACGTATTTTCTTAGCAAATATGTATTTGATTTGCTAATAAATAACACAAGTGCCTTAAAGATGCATTTTTTTTCTTTTTTTGTTACAAGGCGATGGGTACTACATGGCAGTTCCAGCATTTGTGGGGCACAAGAAGGACATGGGGCGTCTAAAACTTCTCCTCACCGACCTCAAACCAAAGAGCAGCTACTGCTTGATTTTCAGTTATCGGCTTGCTGGTGAAAGAGTGGGGAAACTTCGAGTGTTCCTGGCAAACAAAAAGACTGCTCCTGTCTGGGAGGAGAACAAAGGAAAAGACGAAAGGTGGAGAACTGGAAAAATAGAGATATTTCAGGGAGCTGAAACAACCAACAGTGTAAGTATAACACAATTTATAAGCCAACTACCATAACCAACACAACAGCTTAATTTCCTAATCCTCAAGTGTTCCATCGACTGTTTTATAGGCATTACTGGCAATTGAAAGGCTTATCTGAAATGGGAAACAGGAGCATACATTTTAGGAGGCAGAAAAGTTATTATCTGGTTGTAATTTCAGAACTGAATTACTCTAGTTGGTTAGGATCCTGATGCCAGCAATCATGTCATTTCATTAAAAAACTGGATCAGATCATAAATTAACATAAGCAATCAAAATCTTTCCTTAGTATCATATGCAAAAGAAGAATATGTACATGCCTGGAAAAATGAAAATTTTCCGTTTTGTAGAAAAGGATGCTCTCAAACCACACTAAACCAGATCGTCAGAGCAAAGGAGACATCGTGTATAATCAAGGGTGGCCACTCACCTTAAGAGCAGGACATATGCCTGAAAACTGCCTCTAATCACGACATCAGCAAATTCCTCCTTGAAACTCTAGGGCCTGGTTTTCATTTATGCAACTGAACGTTTTCAGTGCTGTGTAGATGGTTCTCCTGTATAACTGAATACTGTGACTATAAATGAAATACAAGTCCGTTTCAAGGTTCTTTGCACTGCTAGAATGATGTAGAAAAGCCCTCACATAGATGAGAATCAGACTATAACATAAAAACTCAGGCATCTTATTTGTATAAAGGAACCATATATAGTATACATACTATACTATGTATATGCATATTAGAGAGAGAGAGAGAGTAAATATTTATAGTGTATATACACCCCAAAACCTACGTATTCAAATAGACCAAAAAGGAACAGTTGTAATGTCTTCAAGAAAAGGAGTGCACTAACATCACATACTGTGATAAAAGTACATTCTATTAATAAGATTTCACTCCATTTGCATTTTCTTTGTACAATGAAAATAAGTAATCTTATTAAAGGAACCCATTTAGTATTGTAAATCCGTGCAGAGGATTATCAGTCTAGTTCAAACAATACATGGAAACTCTAAACTGCAAGGATTTAAGTCATTGAGTCCTGCATTGTGATAAAACATTCCTCAGATATAGCATTATAACTAATTAACATTAAGAGTTGCCGAATGGTTGGATAAACTACTTTTTCACTGTTAATACATCTCTTTTGTTATGACAGGTCACTTTTGAATCAGAACGTGGGAAGGGCAAAACTGGAGAAATTGGAGTGGACAATGTTATACTCATTTCTGGCCTATGCCCAGAAGATACCTGATAATGGATATTTGAGTATACTGGATTTAATCCTATTTTTAATATTTGCCTTACTAGTAGGGTATTTTTGTATCATTTTCTTTATAACAAAACCAAAACCATAAAAACTGTGCCTTGAACTTAATGCAGCAATGCAGACAGAAAAACTGACGTGCAAGACGCAGAGTACACTTTTTAATGAGTTACTCTAATTCTAATACATGCTTTGAGAGTAGCACTACTGTATTTTATAATTCAAGGTCAGGGTTTCTAAAGTATTATTTGTCTAGCATTTTTACAAATTCTACGTGCTCTTATTCCTTAAAGTCCTTTTCAAGGCTATTCTTAAGTCTTCTATTTCATTTCTTCTACTCCACAAGAACATACAGCAGTATTTGAGATGATGTTACTACTTCTGGTGACGTAATTTTAACTTCCGACTTAATGTGTAGATATTCAACCTACTCAACAAGAGAAAAGAGAGAAGCTTTATTTCCTTCTTGATGGAGCTAAGCAAGTTGTAAGTGGAGTCACGTCTTTGAGGACTATTTTCATTACTAATAAAGTATGTAAAATGTCTCATTTGTCATCAGTGTGCGTCATGCAAATCACTGTTTTGAAATTATCCTTTATAGTTTTATAAGCTTTTAATGTTCATAATGAACAGATGATGTTACCAACTGATACTGAAAAAAAAGAACAAAAAGAATGACCCACTATTAACACTTAAGATGCCTCACATTATGTACTGACCTCTGAGAATGAATTGGTGCCTGCTGGATTGCAGGCCTACTTTTCCCCACAGAGGTGTGAACTAAGTTTTGATTTTCCATTAGACAGTGGTCACACAATAAGGCTCTTTCTTACACAATTGAAAAAAAAAAAATTGTTGCAAGTCCCTTCATGTCCTTTCAAACTTCAACAAAAGGGATGGAGACTATCCACCATCCCCAGGAGCAGGGAGGTGAGAAGAACCTTCTTCCACAAACTAGGAGCTGCCACCCTGCCACCCCGTCGCGTTTGCCCATGCACACACATGCATACATGTACACACACATACATACACATGCACCTGCGCCTACATGTACATGTTTCAGGAGGGTCTAGTATCCAGGTTCCACCTTTTCTGAAAAGAAGTCAAATGACAATGCTGTGGAGGACAAGACCATCTTCTTCTGCCTTATGTTATCTTCTGAAAGTGCCTAATGGTCTGAATCCTGAGAGGACAGAGATGCCCATGGAGAAGCTCTGGTTCAGGCAATGCTCAGTTAAATATGTGTGCGTACATTTTCCTCTTGGTTAGCTCTGTGTATCCCCTTCTAGGTTGACTGTTCACTGTTTATTATTAGTGAAGTTCTTTATTTTATTTCTGTATGTAGAAGGGGACATCCAAAATAATTGCATAGAATTTTATAAAGCGACACTAAAGAACTTTGAAGAATTCAACCTTTACAAGCCTAAGCTTTTTAAGAAAAAAACAATGACAAAAAGTCAAATACCTTGAATTGCTCCTATGAAGCAAGTCAGGGATGCTTGAGAAATTTCTTGTGGAAACTCAGTATTTTTTCACTTTGCACAAAGATTAGGAAAAGGTAATCAAGACTGGAAATGTCTGTGAAGTTTACAATAACTGTGTAATCAGGAAATGCTTGTTCTTTGTTAGAACTGGTTTGTGTTACAAAACAGGTGCTCTGAGGACTGCACATGGACTTCAGCTTTGACATATGAATTTCTTTCCTGGCGTCTTTGGAGGTGCTGAGGAAATTACAGAATAAGGACTTGAGAAAAGCAAAGTCTCTTTAATTTCAGGGCAAAGAGTCTTGATGTTTCAAAGTGAGAGGAAAGTTCCCTCAGTAGTTGAACGGGTGCTGAAGAACCCAGTCAGAATGAGGCAGAAAAGTGAAACTCACTTTTCTTTGGCTGACTTTGACATTGGACTACCCTTACTGAAGACCAAGAAAATGAAAGTTCAATTTTACTGAAATCAAATTCTGTGCCTAGCTTCAAACAGCAATAATTCACACATATACAGTGCCCCTAAAGCCTAAGAAGCCTAAGAATAGTTACAGTCTTGAGCACTACAGTGCAAATGATATATTTGAAATATATATGTGGAGCAAACCAAGTCTGCCTAAAAAAGTGGAGCTAGGCATTTCTTGCATGTGCAGTTATTGGGCATGGAGAGATAAATACTGCGTGTGGAAGGCATAGTATCTAAAGACTATTTGCTCAATACACAAACAATAAAGAGTAAACACATGAACACGGTCTGACATGGAGCCAGATATGCCGATAGTTATTCGTTGTTGGTTGAATTGTAGCCCATCATGAATCACAACTGTGACAATTACTTTAGTAGTTGCATTCCACCCAAAAAGCAAGATAAAAAGAAAAGATTTTGCATTTCATGGAACGAGTAAGAAAACAATTTGGACAGATCAGTACAGACTGCAATAGCTGCCATAAGGCCTTCCACGCAGATGCAGAAGATGTTTCTCTTTTGTTTGCAACGGGTTTTCAGATACAAGATAGCTTGCATCATGGCAGATCACAAAAATAATTCTAGCATAATAAGATCTGAAAAGCAAAACCGACACCTTTTTTGTTGTGAATAAATTCAAATCTAGCTTCTGCAGAAGCAACAAAATAAATAACATCAGTGCATCAGCAAATTAACTGGTGTTGTTTGCAACGTTCATTCAAAAGATGCAACTGCTCAGGGCAAAACCTACATGTTTCTCCTTCAGAAGAAAACAGTTAAAGGGCATATTGTGCCCGCAGTCATTAATGCCTCAAAATGTTCCTGACAGTTTTCCATTACTGTGAAATGTGAAATCCATTATCTGCTTGATTGTGTTAGACAGCAAGGAAACTGCTCTGGGAGCATTTGAAAATGTTATAAGTATGCTATGATCAAGTGGCTTGAACTTTGTAACATCATTTGCAACTCTTAAGTCTGATAATGAACTTTGGAGACAGTACTCTGCCTACAAGTTAATGGAAAAAAAAGAGCTTCTAGCTAATTACTCAAATCTATACTACATCTTTCAAAAACCACTCAACAGATCTGATCACTTAATCTTGACGGTTGCATAACAAAAGGTTTCAATCACTTTTCTTCAACTGCCAAAAGAATTAAAGGAGACATTTCATTTTGTCAACCATGAATACATGGAAATGTTGAGGCACGTTCCCACAAGATGATTATCTTGTAACCTGCAACTGAAAGGAACTTAAAACATTTTCCAGCTATTAGATGTTATTTTTATACATTAAATAAGGATTTCCCACTGCAATTTTTAAGGATTTCACACTGCAATTTTTAAGGATCATAAAGATGAAGATAATGGAGAGACGCTTTCAATGACTGATTGCCACTCATATTTACTTCATAATTGCTATATTTTTTAGGACAGAGTCATACACCTGTATGTACTGGAGGTATTGAAGTTCCTGACAATATATGAATGAAAAGGTAAATAACAAGAAAGTGTAGATAATAATTTATTGAGTCATATTTGTACTGTTACATAAAAGCTCATCAGAGCAAAATATTTTTGATGGAAATTAATTTCTAATTTTTATAGTTATTAACCTCTCAAATACTTCACTTTAAAGTTTGATTTCAACAAAGTTAGACATTCAATCTCTCTGACATCAGTTAGTAATTCAAGAACACTGTGTGTATGTCAACAACCTCAGGGCTCACACAACAAATTCATATTTGACTAAGCAACATCAGACTGGTTAGCTGTGGATGTATAGCCGAAAAGGAGAGGCAGAGAGATATAACTGTTTCTCAATTTCTCTCAAGTTAAGTACTCTGTGCAGTACTTAACTGGGCAAGTTACTTAGATGGCTTCATAACACTCCGCTGATCCTGGCAGAATTTCTTCAGATATCCTACTGGTAATTCAATTTTAGGTCTTCCTGGTGGTATGATATTCCCACCATGTATTGGTACTCCTGCCATGGAAGACCCAGGAAACACATGGGAAATATCTCTCATTAACGCTACCAAGTTCACTTTAAGTGCATCATCCTCATTCTCTAAGTTCAGTACTTAGCACCTTCCAGGGCTACAGAAAATGCACAGGCATCTCAGGATTGCCTCCTACTGACTGGCCCTCAAACAGAAGGCAGCTCATCTAAGACATCCTTGATTTTCATCACTAACAGAAATGCACAGGAGAGATGATTACTACAACTACATCCATCTGCAACCAGTGTGCCAAGACACAGGACAGGAGAGAGGCTTTGGCATCGCAGTGCTTGAAGACACGAAGGCATCACCCTCACTGTCACAGACTAGCTGGTGGGTGGCAGTCATATGAGCGTCCCACCCAGTGGCCAAGAACAAGCTGGAGTGGGTTTAACCCACCATGACTGGGGCACGTGGAAATAAACAGCACGAGCAGCTGTAATGGGAGAGGCGAGCAGTGTGACTGTCAAGCTCATCCACCGCCCAGTTCTGAACGTTTTACCTGATCACACATAAGCAGCAGCAGTTTGAAGCTGGCCTAAGAAAAGCCAGGGACTGATCCATCTCCCTCTCAAAACTGGATCAGAGCCTAAAAACATGAGTGACCCTTGAAATGAATAGCCACCCAAGACTTCCTTCTTTGTGTGAATGAACACACTTCAAACGCTGTGAGGGGAGGTACTCTCACGAAATGAAATCTGTCAGAGTCCCAAAGTGTGGCCCAATTCTTGGATTTTCAGAGTCTATGGACACGAGATTTGTGTAGAATTTATGTATATTTTCTTCCACATATCATTGAGATGGAAAAAGAAGTGATTGTTTAAAACACTTTGGTCTCCATTTCATTTCATTTCATTATAATGATTCACTCAATAGTGCCTGCATTATATCATTTTTCCCTTACTTGCTAGCAGAATGGTAGTGAGCCTTTTCATGAACTGAATCATATGTCTAGATCATAGACAGATTTTCTTGTTTTTCTGGGAACTTTAAAACCAATATAAATTCAAGACTTCTTCGCAAAATAACCTTCAAACTGAAGAAACCTTAAAAGAAAGCTCTCCAGAAGGAACTACAGCACTGGACCACTAAATGAATGCCATAGGGAGGGCCTCTCTGGGGACCCTTTTTTATTTCTTTCAAGATTTGCTAGATCTGAGCACCTCTCTTTAGGGAGCACAAATCTTGTTACGGTGTTATGCCACTGGTACAAACTGGCCACTACATAACTAAATACTGGAGGAACTCGACATTAGGCAACTGAAGAACAGGGTAAGGGTCACTAATTGGAGCATGGGAGAAACATGAAAGCCAACCTCAAATGCAGGTATACAGGGACAGATATTTTCTTGTGTCTGGTTCTTACCGCTCCCTGACCAT